TATTTATAATTTATTTCATTTCATTATAATTTATTAGATAGATACCAAAATTTATCAACTTGAATAATTTTGTTACATAATCTGTTGGCTCGATAAATATCGGAGCTAAAGAGCACGTCGCTTGAATAAAATTAAAAACTATAAGAGTCCAGTTAAGTATTGCATTTTTTGTCTATAGTTGTATGTCAATAATTACGAAACTTCAGAAGCATATATGTCAAAAGTTATATAAATGGTTGGACGGGGTATAACTGAAAAATTTACGTAATGCTTCTAGTATTACGGCCCAAAATCAGAAAATATCACAAAATATGCATAGATTGTTCACAAGAATTAATACTTGGTCGCTGCAGGTTTCCTAGTACTTTTACAGTTGGGTTTACATCTCCTGGGTTTATCATTCAGTAGTAAATTTTAAAAAGTCCACGTTCTCGTTGAAAGATAGACTATTGTTTGGAATAAGCAAATATTTTGGCTCATGGAACATAAACCGCACAAGTTTAATATAAGCTTTACTGTTCGTCAAGAACATTTACCGTGTTGTTTTCAGTAAATATGATTTGCGGTATAGTCGGTGCGCCAACTTGCAGTTTGTACAACCAGAGAATTAATAAACATTTGTTCTTAGGAATACAAAACTGCTATGAGGTGATATATTGCTAAACAGTATTCACGATAGAACACGCCTTGTCCAGCTGTCTTTGACATACTTAGAGTTATACAGGAAATTCCGAATTAAACCTGTTTTGTGAATTACCTATCACAAGCTAGAAACATGATTTACATAATTATGTTTCTACGAAAATATTTCCGCTTTTATTGAACAGATTTTCATTGATTCACTTTCATTTTTTTGTTCATCACACCATTATGTTTCACTGTTTTAATACATTGATAAGTTATTCGTTTCCCGATTCTCATTTCCCCAACATTCCGTTTGACCGAATGAATATTTCGTTTTTGTACAATAAACGATCCATTATACATTTTTCGTATTAAGTTTTATTTTACCGCTGATTTAATTTACGTCTCAAACTAAGCTACAGAACGAACTACGATCATGACACATAGCGTCTGGTACGGTTTGCTAGAAGACGTCAATTCGAATCCGGCCGGATCGAAGGAATTTTTACTAAGTCTTCGAACTTTGTATTAATAATTATAAATGCCTTAGTTTTGTAGTTTCATTTCTTATGTGTAACAATTGCGAAAATCTAAGAACTCGTTGTAAATTAATAACTCATTTTTAATTAGATCACTTTCGATCTAAAGGTGCGAAGTTTTGTTAGAATCTGATATTACAGAAAATGATTAATCATCATAAATTTGCTGTAAATGCTGGCCAACTTATCAATGCACCTAAATCACAGACATTGTACGTAATAAGTAAACTGACAAAACAACATACTGATTTCGCCAAATGAAATGTTGAAACGGTATCACTATGTGGGTGTTCGTGGCTCACACCTGGCCCACCACTGAGCGAGTTTGTCATTTCATTACTAACCGAGGAAATATTGTCACTTCAATAATATTTTAAACCGTTCTTGGTCTAAGAGTGTGATGTTTGAGCACAGTTAAACAAACACTCTACCAAAAGCCACGAAATATGGAATACTCGGAGTCGATACATTTTTGTTTCATACATACATTATGGGTTTCGTTGGACAAGTCGCTAAAATTATACTTTTTAAGACGCAAAGAACATAATTTAATCGTTTGTTTCATATTATTAATATTGCTATACTACAATTAAAAATGCAATGACTAGAGACAACACAATCGTTACTAATATAAACAATATTACGCACATGACAACTAACATAGTATTATTTCAAAAATTAAGTTATATATACATATGTCATTCTTAGACAAGATAATTCTGTCACTTTGCAATTAAATCGTATAGGAATGACATATTACGCAATTTTTGAGATAATAGTATGTTAGTATGCGAATAGTTACAAAAAGCTGTAATGTTAAATACATGCCAAATTATCAGGAAGTTCATATAGACAAAAGAAGACGAAGTATGTTCTCATCACAACACACAGTCGACATAAATACACCCCATACCGCATTTATTCGATTTCGATCCATAAATGTAGTTAAAACCTGCCAGAAGGTTGTGAAACGAAAAACATAACAATAAAAAATCGTGCCAAACCACCACACATTTACCTGCTTTCAAAGTAGGAAATTCCCTATACTATGAGTACCAGAGCAACGGAATTCACTCCACGACACTAACCAGAACACCCAGACCCGGACCAATTAAGAAAATTTCATTTACAAAATTGGTTTTGGTGGTTCTACCAGGAAATAAACAAATGAAATTTCATGAATATAAAATATAACAACCACAGACCAAACTTCCGTGATAAGAACACAATACGATGTCCAAAATGTTAACAGCAGTAGAGCTCCTTGTGAAAGAGTTCGTCAACTGCTGCCAAGCAGTAATGTTAGCATTACTGCTTGCTCTAGCTTGGTTTAACTCAACCAGCTAAATGTCTAGCATTAATGCAAACCACCCTATTCTGAACTATGTTCTCAGTAAATTATAAATAACATAATCTAGAGTAGTTCTATATTAATCAGACGTGATTTGAAAAGACCAGAAACTGGGACCTGCAAAGAGACCGAAACATTGGCTTGTTTGAAAAAATAAAAATATACACGCCATTTTAGATCCGAAAAAATCTTATCATTTTCATATAATCTGGAGTTTATTCATATAAGTACCATTTGAAATTTAAGGGTAGGTGTGACTGTTTTTCTTACTTTTGTTGGTAGCAGAATATATTTGAAAAAAAAAAAACAGATGAAATACCTTAGTCTTCATCGATTTAGTCAATAAAAAAACTCAAGCACACTATATTACGAAAAATAAACATTTGTGGTACGTGCTAGCGGTCAAATATGAAGTGTAACATTTGTTTCTATTTGAAAGTCATCACTTGAAGCAAACTAGATTTTCTCCTTACCCCAAGACACTCACCTATCTACTATTTGTACAAGACTGGCGTTACCATATGGAGGAAATCATGTGAACCAAGTGAAATCGAATACTTAGACAATGCTTTATGAATTTTTGCATCGGTGTGCGGGCTTTCACTCAACGCTCTATTATATATTTCTATTATATTTTGTCTCACTTGAAAGATTTTTTAAACTATTCAGATGTCAGGCAAATGTTAATACAAAAATATTAGCAACTTTGTAACAATTGGGTGGTTAGATGCGCTATGATTTCCTACTTTAAGAGTAGCGTGTAATCATATCGATATAATCGCGCGAGAGTTGGCATATTCTATTGGTTGATGTAGAAATGAAATTGCGTTTGCAATTTGATGTGCAGTCAATGTAGTCTGTTACTTTTTAATTTTACCGAGGGTTAGTGGTACACTCAATAACCATGTATAAGCTTCTATAAAAAGATTCCAGTTGATATTCAAAATTTGCCATTCACGAGGTTTTAAACTATAGTGTAACAAATATTTATACTACAGGTTATTAAACGAACTTCTGCGTACTTGGATAACAATCCGTGGTAATTTAGCTCTTGCAGGTAGTCTCAATCTAAATATATTCAAATGTGTATCTATAAAGAGCAATCCCTAGAGTTTCTAGCTCATTCTTCTCCGGGGACGCTGCCTTACGAATGAGCAGTAGAGTTTAATCAATATGACGATTTCAAGTGTCATGGCTTACCTATGACATAAAGACCATTTGAATTTTTGAACCTTGTTTCTTTTGTGACCTTTTCCTTATATGAATTAACAAGCTCGGGCACTAAAGGAATTAGTATGTTCATAAGTGACATGCATATTAAAAGACAATTATTTATTTCATACTACTCAGTTCCCACGACTTCGTCCGCGTAGAATAAGTTCTTCGAATTGCCTACTGTACTATACTAATTTTCATAATTTTATTGGTTGTCCCCTTTTAAGATTTATTTTTGTGACAAAAAGCATAGCCTATGTCTAGTCCTTGGTCTCATCTATCTCTGTATCAAAATTCATCAATATTGGTTCATTAATTTAGTCGCGAAAACGTAACAGAGTTATATTTATCGTTTATAATATTAGTATAGATTCATAAATGAATTTAAATATTTACCTACATAGCATTAAATAAATAAAACCATGTAGTAAATACCTGAAGAATACAAGGAAATTACTACCAAGACCTCGGCTCCGACTACCTATTTACAACCTATGTACAAAAGCCGTGGCCCTTGTACATAATTTTATCCAAAAAATTAATAGACTGTCTGGGAAACCCAAGGACCTGCAGCTACCTTGCCCAACGCATTAGCATAACCATACAAATGGAGAATTTGCCGCGGGGACCTAATTTTAATCATATAATTCAATCCTAGTTTTACATTGCTTTTAATCTTTTATTATACCTTACCTGTATATTATGAAAATCAAAAAAATATTACGAACGAGAAAAAATACCTGAATACCTTAATTACAGAGGATTAAAACAAAAATCGATACAAGTTGTTTTTTATTTACTACATGCACAGATCCAACAGCGCATTAAAAGTACTGTTAATTACACAAAAACCGGAATATCTAAAAAAAACCTAACAATACAAAAACCAAATCTAAACTATAATTATGAGATGATCTACCTAATAAAATATTGCAAATGTGGTAGATTTTCTTTGTTTATCTTGTACTGGGTCAAGAGCACGTCAAGCTTGAAATCAACTCTATACCGCTTACAATAAGAACGGTCCAAAGTGTAAAACTTAACTTGATCTTGGCTGCACCAAGCATTGTAAAATGTTTAATAAAGACGTGATGAATCGGTAAAGTTAATTGAAACTCTTCATGTAGTATCTTTTTCTTTTACGGCCACTCTTACGCGACCCTAATCGTTACAAGTTACGCTCAAAAAGAAAGCCATTCGCCACAAAACTTAACCCCCTTAGGTCGTTATCTACTAAGAGCTCTCAATTACGAGTTATTTTGCTTTTATAGGAGTAACAATGCGGGCGGAGGACGGTAGTGCGGACGGCGGGGGGTAGCATGGCGGCGGTGCTGCTGTTTCTGGCGGTGGCGACCACCGTGGCTGCCACGACCACAATTGCTACTGCAACCGTGCACGTCGTTGGCGATCTCGCAAGGCGTGATACGGGAGATGTCTTTACTATCACCGGTAAGTTGGTAACATTACATTTTCTTGATGCGGTGGCCAATATACAGTCTTCTCAAAGAATTCTATCACCATCCAAGTAATATAAAGGCTAGATTGGATAACGTAACGGCTATTACTAAAATTACAACTTTTATTCCATAGTACCTAACAAACCATAAAAAATTTAGCAAAAACTATATTCTTGTACTGACATTTTTAAACCTCTTTTTGGTAGTAAGTTTTTTAACCGACTTCAAAAAAAGGAAGACGTTCTCTATTCGACTGTACTTTTTTTTTGTATATTACGCGATAACTGCGGGATTTGTGAACCGATTTTGATGATTCATTTTTATTGGGAAGAGGGTATCTCAGACGCGGTCCCATTTAAATTTGAAGAAAATATTCCACCGCTAAGGGTGGCAAACTAGGGGATGAATGACTTTTGAAGTCGGTTTTTTTATTACTCTGTACTGTTTGTTATTATTTATAATATAAAATGATAGGACGAACAATTCCTAAGCCTGATGGTAAGCAACACGCCTGTCCATCACAGTCGCAGTGCCACTCAGAGCAAGTATATGCAATTTCACCGCCTTTACCCTGCAAAACCGGGACATAGCAATGCTCACATTACTGCGTGGTGGCAGAAATAGGTAAGGTGACAATATTTCCCTGGGCAAACTCTTTCACAAGGAGCTATACTGCTGCTAAGTTCAAATATGCTAGCGTCTTCCCGACCCGACACACGACCGACCCTTTGTACTGCGTTTTGAATCTAACTAGTATTTTCCTTAGCGTTTTCTTTCGTTGCCGCACAGAGTTATCATCGTTTAGTTAGAGCGATCTATTTACATATTATTATGCGAAAATAAAACCTAATGAATTATTACAATTACCAGTACTTGTTATTTACGATGTTAGTAATATAGTAAGGCTAAGTAACTACCGTCCTTTTAATACCAAACAATTCAGAACTAATGTTAGCTACAATTTTTTTAGAATTTACTGTGAGTATAATATATTACATAAAACATAAACGCAGCCGCAGATCATCTGATTTGGCTTTGTTTTCGTTTTCATTAAATAAATTTAAAACTTTGTTATATAACTCACTGCTGCTGCCTAAAATTTCTGTAACAATCTTAATAAAACACGTTTACATTATTAGTTTACAATCACATACATTTGTTTGTATGTAACATAACACACAGTAAACGCTTCTGATACGATGTTATATGTGCATGCTGTATTTGCCTAATATTGAATTTACATTCGAGTAAATTCTGCAGTGTTATCTTATGTCCATGTTAAATATTGTATTTCTGTTGACAAATCTAATAAATAAATTGTAGGCACCTACTTTGAGATTGTTAGCATTTTAAAAATAACCCAGATTACAGAATTGATGAAGAAATAACAAAAAACAAACAATTTCAGCTAACAACTTTTTAAACTGTTCCGATTTGCACAAAACTACTTAGGTATGTACCTCGTAAACACAGAATTCGAGATGTTAATCTCGAAGTGCATCTAATAAGTGTTTTTGCAATACAACTAGACTAATATAGTGATACTGATGACGGCCGCGCGACCTCACATTCAAGAACACCCATAAGTCATTTCACACTCTACATAGATCGGTAAACAGTGGAGTTTAGCCTTCTTTTATATTGTTCCTTTACTGTGTATGTATAGCTAGTCATTTGCTAGTATTAAAATTAGATCTCAATCGGAGAGACAAATCGATCACAAGATTTAGACAGGGTATGAAACGTAGTAAAATAATTGTATTTTATGCATTGACTTACAAATAAATGGACGACGGGTCTAATACAAAAACCACGAAAAAAATGTCCCAAGTCAACCTATTCGAAATTTGAATTGTAATGTCATCGCAGTATCGCGCTGTCAGTAGAACAAATGAAGACTAAAGCGGAGTGTCGCGCTCTGTATACGATTTTAGCGCCTTACAAGTGCGGACACTTTTTAGCGCGGACCCGACGTCCATATAATTGTAAGTCAATGATTTTATGCAATAGTTACATAATGAGGGTTGTTAAAGTCGAATATCGTGTTTAAGAAATTTATACGAGATTTTAAGACCTGGATCTAATGATTGCATACAATACTTTTTTACAAGTAAATAAAATTATGAAACACAATCTATATTTAATATACATATATTTTGTTAACAATCCATGACAACAAACTCAAAAAAACCTAAGAGATAGAATTAAAGTGGCCAGTTACCGCTAGTGTAGTAAATTTTTATCTGTTTAAGTATTTTTTTTTTTAATAAAACCTTATGGCCTGGTTGCAAGATCTTTAGACCAATTTAACCAATCAGGAAGCAGTAGAGTTTGAGTAATATGCATTGACTTACAAATAAATGGACGACGGGTCTAATACAAAAACCACGAAAAAAATGTCCCAAGTCAACCTATTCGAAATTTAAATTGTAATGTCATCGCAGTATCGCGCTGTCAGTAGAACAAATGAAGACTAAAGCGGAGTGTCGCGCTCTGTATACGATTTTAGCGCCTTACAAGTGCGGACACTTTTTAGCGCGAACCCGACGTCCATATAATTGTAAGTCAATGGTAATATGTATAATTAGCAAAAATACGACGTTCTTTTTTTGAAACGCATTATAGTTCTGATAGTACTCATTGAACGAAAATTTTTCAGTCCAGTAGCTAGTACCATAGACAATAGAATTTTGATTCAGAACAAAAAAGAGCGCCTTTGTGATATGGCTTATGAAATTATAATTAACAGATTACGATACATACAGGAGTTAAAAAAAAATATTATAAAATTCCTTTACAGACGGCGAATGTGGCGCGGCTCAATGTGCAGAACACGGCGCGGGAGTGAGTGCAGGCGCGGGCGGCGACGCGTGTACCGGCGAGGCGTGCGTAAGCGCGGACGCGTGCGCCTGCGCGTGCCCGCAACGCGCACCGCTCTTCAGAGAGGATCGCGAACTGTGTGTTGATGATTTGCCGGGTAATTATACCTACTGAGATTCTGTTTCTAAAACTGCAAATACTTCATACCTATCTAGTTTAGAAAATCATTTCGTGACTAATGTATTACAGCCTCTAGACGATAGCTAAAAATCAGTGCGTTGCTTTTGGGCAACACCTGCACTGAACTATGACCGTTTGGCGTGCCGCAGCACTCACAACTTGCTACCAATGAATAAGCAGATATAAGTTGTTTATTACGTACATTTATTTGATTACCTTCCGTTTTGTTCCTTTTGTTTTGCGTCTTTTTCTTACATATACATATTTTCTATCGTTGTGTGTACTCGTGGTCAATCGATAACCGTGTTCTATCTATATATCCACAAGATGTTTTAAATTAAGATATACGCTAAACAAGTGTTGGGTATAACTAATAAAAAGTAGTCTTCATTGAGTCAGCTTTCTCAATATTGAAAAACATAATCGCCTCCATAAAACACTTTTATGTATTACTTGCTGGCATTAGGGTTTCCCCAGACTATTAAAAATTAAAGTATGATTTTAAAGTTGACTTTTTTATTGAGTTCAGAAGCATTACAAGTACGTAACAAGGATATTGTACTTGTATTGCACTGTGTCGGTGTCAGAGCAATAACGTCACTTGACCAGTGAAATTAGGATAGCAGAAGCTTAGTTTTGAAAATGTTTGAAGGTCATTGACAATTTTTAAAAGTAATTTATAATATTTACGTATATTACAGGTTATATTACAGTAGTTTTTGACAGAAACTAAATGTGATGGTTATGTTATTTTATGGACATGTGTTTGTTTTCGAAACATGGTGTGTTAATAGAATCAATACGGCAATATTATTATTGTTGTTGTTTTATGGCAGCTTTGACAAGTCGTGAAGTGTCTTTAAGGGTTTAAATAGGGTCTTTGTAAATAAAAATTTATATATATTTGTCATTTACAATATTTATTTAAAACAATTAGATCGAGACTACCTGCAAAAGCTAAATGGGTCACTATCACGGATTTTTATTACGCTAAAAATGTAGGTATAATAAAAAACCTTTAGTATAATGTGTTTGGTTCACGATAGTTTTATGCCTTGTGAAGGGCAAATTTTGAATATCAACCAGAATCTTATTATAGAAGCATTGCTCCTTAAAATTTGTGACTTTGCGAAGACAACAACTATCAAGAACAGGCATATTATTTTTATTTCTCGTATTAATGTTATGTCTGTCACTATTTTGTCATAAATAAAATTAAATACTGTTCTTCTTGACATAAATTACACTTTCATAAATGTACTGTGGCGCTAACGTGATGTTAACTTCCTTAAATTGGTTGCAGTATAGTCTGTCAGATCCCCGGGCTCTACTAGGGTACTCTACCGATACATACATCTATGTATCCTACTTACTTAGCTATTTTATAAATACAGAGAAGATTGGAAACCGTAGTCCAAGAGCCTTGCCCACTAACATCATTAGCATATTATTAAGCTTTTTGTTCTCGACATAGCGCAATTTGCAAGCCAAGTGATATATATCCCTACGGCCGCCTGCCACACTGTTAATGTTCTTGTTCTTGCACAGTTACGTTGATGGAGTAAATTGTTTATTAGTTTGTTCTAATGATTATTACTTTACTCAATATTAGTAGGTACATAAATATCTGCCTTAAAACAGGACATACACACGTTCTCGTGTACTAATAACAAGTGTCTACACTAATAATATTTTCATTCAATAATCGTTCGTTTGTCGTGAGTTTGATAAAGTATAACTAAGACTATATAATTTAACATTTAAAACACAATCTTAACTTAATGTAAATTTTCTCTTCTCGTTCGTGTTTATCATGTTGGTCGTGTCTCGGAAAGTTTTTTGTGGTAATATTTAGAATCTGTTTCCACTTTATTCGGTTTTCTACTTCATTACAAAAGGAAGACCAGAGAGAACAGTTCACCAAGAAAAAGATGTTCTGAGCTCAGCAACCGAAATTCTTTTGGTACTACATTGTTGAGAGCTTACTCTTATTTAAAAGATTTGTGATGATGTTGTTTAATGTGAATATTCCCTGGATTCACACGAAACGTTTTGCTTCCACATTTATATGGCAAGCGGCTAGGGATTGGAATTCCCTGCCTGTGGACTTGTTCCTCAAATGCTATGACTTAGACCTTTTTAACGCGAGAGTGAATATTATTTAGATATGCTCCATCGTCGACCTCGTCGTCACTTTCCATGAAGTGAGATGGAGGCCAAATGCGCACTTATTTTATATATAATAAAAATATACTTATAAATATGTTCATATACTATCAATCACATGTACCTTGAAAGGCAATGTTTTTACTCTAAATAGCTCTAGGATAGATTTGTTGGTGTTTATAGCGGTCGAATGTAAGTTTTATTACGAATTTATTTTATTAGAATTGGTAAAAAACAAACACCACAAAACGACAGAAAAGCCGTTAAATTAAATATAAAGATCTGTAACAAGCATATAGAGAAGTTCGTGAAGTTTTCAGCAGACTTCACGAACTTCTCTATATGCTTGTTACAGATACGCTGGTTTCGTAGATCAGTTGTGTAAACGATATCCCCGGTAAGGCAAGGTTGCTGTTCCGACTTCAACCGGATCAATGAATTTTTTTTGTGTTTATTTGATCTTTGTATCCAGTGGCGGATTTGCAGTCTTAGCTGCCCTAGGCCTTAGGCCCCAGGCCATGTCTGGCCAGGCCTACTGACCAGTATCAGTCGCCCCTTTCTCAGCACTCATCATATACTGGTAGACTACATAATGAATTTACTTTATTGCCAACTTTTATCGCAATCCATTCAGAAATTTACTATTTAATATTTTTCTAGAACATTGATTTGATATATCTCTGTTAGGTCACGTGGTGCACGCCAGTAAAGCGCCCAGCCAGCATGATTTTTTCCGACATCTTCAACATTTATCATCATATTTCAGTCAACTTACATAAGACCTAAATAAGTTATATGATGCGGTGCAGTGCGACTCGTCATAATGTGCGTGAGCCTTTAGAATATGTAGGTACTTTGAGTTATTTCTTGTCATCATCAGTGAATTTTTTGACACAGTTGTTCGCCCCTAAAATCTGGCCGCCCTAGGCCCGGGCCTACTGGGTCTTAGGGCAAATTCCCCATCGTTAATTATAAATACCACACATTTAAAGTTATCACCAGTTTAAAGATTTTTGTTGCACTTTCTCTACATAATGTATTATAGTTTTGTCTTTTAAACAAATATTTGTGCCATAAAGCTTGTATATGATTTTGAAGTAATAATTTTGTAGTTAGCATTTCATATTTGTTAATTTATACCACTTTCGTTTATTTATATTACTTTAATACTCTACCTAGAGCTTTAAAAGTTTTGCTTCAACAAAAATAAAAAACAAGTAAGTAAATATGCGTACCTAATTGAGGTTAAGGCTGTAGCCCAGCCTTAGAGAAATGAGAATGCAGAAGGCTCGGTCCACAAGATTTATTGTAAGAGATAATTAAAGAGGAAAAGGAAGGCTGTAACAAATAATTTAGTAACAGTAGAGCTCCTTGTGAAAGAGCTCATCCAGGGAAGTACTGCCGCGTTACCTATTTCTACCGCCAAGCAGTAATGATCACATTACTGTGTTTCGGTTGTGAAGGGTAAGGGTGCTGGTGAAATTACAGGCACATGTGACTTGTCAACTTATGTCTCAGGGTGACGAGCGCAGTGGCGGTGCCCCAAGATCTTTATGATTTAAAGCCCTGAGTTACACTGCAACTGTTATGGGCAGGCATGTGGCTTACTACCAGGTGCACGACTTGTTCATTCCTTCACTTGATATTATAAAAAGAAGTATAATTATTATAAAACCCTGTAAAACTAAATAACATAATACACAATACCATACAGTTTTAATAGTAAACCGACTTGAAGTTTAACAATAAGAAAATGAAGGTGATTTGTGATGTATCAGCATGTCGTCTCGTTTCAAGATTTTTTATAGCAGTAACATGTCTTTCCAATTTGTGGGAGTAACGACGGATCAAAAAAAGTAAACATAGTGAAAGAAAAAGGAAGTTGAGAACTATTAAAAATTTTAAAAATAAGTAGCCAGGTATCGGAAAAGAGGAACCGGATGATAAAAAATTAGAATGTCAGTAAAGGAGGTCAGTATCATCATAAGGCGATGTTATACCACCATCTTCGTTCTCTAGCGAACTATATTTAAATTATTCATCAGTCATGCCTTTGTTTGCTAAGTCATCCGATCATTAGAATCGTCCAACATATACTATGCAAACACTACGTGTTCCCGATTACTATACGTACGACTTTTCTTAATGTATATTCAAGCCGTCTACGGTGCAAATAATTCAATCCATTAATTCTTAATTAAAGCACACGACAGATCCAAATCTTGCGCAATTCCTAAATAAAGCAGGATGAAATGAGTAAATCTCATTGACAATGACCGATTTTGCCGATTGATGCGCTGTGACAGATACTTTTCTCATACATTAACTCAAACTTCTAACTTCTGGATGGCCAAGCAAGAGGTCCCAGGTTCGATTCTCGTGCCAGGAGAAATATTTGTATGGCTTATATTTATTTCTCTCGTGAGTTTGGGTCTAATTTCTGGTTGTCTATATGTGTGTCCATGGCACCTGCGATACAGGATTTCCCTAGTGCTGGACTATGAGTGTGTGCGCGTTATTATTATTATTAAATGTTTATAAATGTTTCTTCTACAGACAATTAAATGACTGTAATAAATCATGATGCTGCCGACGACCGTGCGTCACGTACCAAAAGACGGGACGAACAAGTTGTGCGCCTGATGGTACGTGAGTAAACACAAAAGATCTGAGGGGCACTGCCTAAGTCTCAGATGGCTATAATTTACCAGCACCTTTACCCTGCAAAACCGGAATGCAGTAATGCTTACGTTACTGCTTGACGGCAGAACCCCTGAACGAAATTTTCACAAGGAGCTCTACCTGCTACTG